AGCTTATGAAAGCTGAACAGTTTTATTAAATTCAAATATCAATGTTATCCAGTGGGCACTTAGTTATGCCTTTTGATTGGAGGCTGTGTATATCCACATTGCAAAGTGATTGCTGTGGTGGAGATGATTCCAAGGTTTGTGGTGAGCCAGAGCCCATTGCAAGGTCCTTCAGGGAGATGGGGTGGCTCCTTTTTCTTGTGGAGTACTATTGTGGTTGGCCAGTGAAAGACATCTCACCAGATTCCCTGTAGACTACACTGTAGGTTCTTTACTATAGCTGTCAAAAGGAATATGCAGAAGGCACGCTTGACTTGAGCTTTGAGTGCATTAATAGTATTTTGTATTCCATTTCTGCGTGTTCTGCCATTCATCATTAACAATGAACGTATAGATGATGATTGTATCTTCTTTGAGGGGAAGATGGAAGCTGCATGATGTCTTTAATCCAAGCTCATTTTGATGGATACTTCCCTGCCTCACTTAGACAGCTCAGGGTCTTAAGTATTTTAGGGAGGTTATGTTGGAGCTCCAACTTCAGCAGACTGTGGCCCCCGTGTTCTTTCTTTCATTTTATTTAGGGCAACCATATGCAAGTAACTGCAAACATCAACAGAGTATTCTGCATCCCATTATGTTAGGGAGATTCAAAGACTGATGGTTTCCTGTTTTGAAAACCTGAAAATGATGGAAATGAACCAAGTCACACAAGGAAGTTAGGCTTGAGTTGGGAATACAGAATAAAAATCTCCACCTGTCTCCTTGGACTAAGACTGCCTCAGAGTGGATCTCATTGTCTCAGAAGAGCTAGTCATATTGTGCTGGTACTGGACTGTCCATTGTGTCTCTGGTGAATACGTCTCGTTTCTGATCAGACTTTGGCATTGTTCTCCTGCTGTCTTTCATCGAAGCATCAAGCAGTAGCTGTGTTGCTCTGATATAATTAATGATGTAGGCGTTAGGGAGTTTGTCATGGTTGGCTGTCGTATGATAGGTATGCCATCTGCTCACCAAGTGAGTCTTCTGAAGACCTTGTTCTGAAGGTGTTTGGGATCAGATCCGTTTGAAGACAGAATGCTCACAAAATGTTTGTTTGGAAATGGGACTCTATCATGTAATTCTGTATAGAAAGAAGAGGCTAACTGATTATTTCAATGTCTGAGCTTTTCTGAACGGGGGCATATATTATTTAAGATTAAATTAATCCATGCTTTGTGATCACAGGAACAATGAGATTCTTAGGAGCAGATACGGTAGCAAGAGATTTTAATTTCTATTAGAGTATTTCAATAAAAGCGATGGTAAGGCACTTTGGATGCCTTGGTATAAAAGTGCAACTTTAAACTTTTGCAGTTTTATTGTTTTGCTAATGCTCAGGGAGTGATCTTAAATATCTAAATACCATTTACTTTTGAAGACTGGATATAGAAGACATTATTGTTTCTAATACTAATATTGAATTAGTCGATGGTTGACATAGTGACATTACTGTTTAAATGGAATCTGAAAATACTGAAACTCCTCTACTGAAAGGACTTTTCCAGATATACTAATAGGTTAACAAATACTAAGTTTTGGTAAATTTTGCATATCACAAGAAGCTTCCAAAATGCAAAGCAGCAGCACTGTCATGGTTTCTTCTAAAATTAAAGGTCACCTTCAGTCTCCAGAAAAGCAGGTGCAGCTGATTAGAACAAGAGTTCATGCACATCTGAGTGGAGATTTGGGCCTGCAGAGTCCTTGATCTTCGCTGATATTTAGCTCTTGGTGTTTACAGATAAAGAAACTTTGCAGGCAGTTGTTATTTGAAAAAGAAAAGAGAAAGAAAATCTCTGGAGGGAAGATGGTAAAGATATGATGACACCACTATCAGCAGCTTGTTGTATTATAAAGTTGTGAAAAATAAGCTCCTGTGTAACAAGGCTGTGCTTTTTTGGTAAAAGCAGTTTCTTTTATGTTTGATATTTATATTTAAAAAGAGAACTAATACTAATGAAGTGCTAAGTTTGAAAATTAAATTAGAAGAGCTTGGTAGCTCACATTTTGGTGAGCTGTATTAGGTCAAATCTATCTTTAGCTCTACATTATGTCAAAGCAAGATTTTGCATTCTTTATATGAACCCCAAGATTCAAAACATACATTGTTAACAGTTTTTCAGGCAAATTTCATGTTCCATGAGAACCTTTCTAAAGAGAAATAGCAACTTGAAATAAAGGTTAAGCTCACTTCTGCTTGTTTTACCCTTGCTGAAAGAAATGGAACGATGTAAACAGATGGAATAATAGCCATGCTTTTTGTTTAGTGTTCCAATAGTAATGATATTCCTGAATCTAACACCCTGATTGTGCACATTGTGGTTATTGTGCACTTCAGAAACTGTTCTTGAGGTTCACATGGTGGGTCTCTCAGGTTTCTTTCAGTTCAATAATTTATGTAATTCAAAAACACTTCTTTTACTCTTTTAAAGTATAATTTCATTCCGACAATAAGGCCTGTAATTGACTCAGTCATTAATCACAATTTGTATCCTCTGTAGTATAATAGTGAACAAAGTCATGTATACTTCCATCATAACCCCTTTGTGGATCAAATTCAAAATGCTCAGTTGTTTTATTGACTATTTATTACAATGTCTTATGGGGAAAACATATTTTTTAGAATACTGTTGACTATTATTGACTATTTACTGCAATATCTTATGGGAAAAGGGTGTATTTTAGAAGATTTAGATACTCTTGTTGCTGTCATTGTAAAGTTCTTGTCAGTCAAGTTTGCAGGACAGGACAACAATAAAGTCATAAATGGTTACAGTTTCTGACAGCAAATTTTATATAGTGCATTCATCAGTTTTAGGACTAGAAATAGAAATAAACTTTACTTACAACATGAATAAATTATTTTTTTCTTAGAAATATAGATGCTAGTTCCCCGATGTGCCAGTTCCCTTACTTGCAATCATAATGTTATGTTAGCATTAAGTTTGTATTAAATTTCCCATCTATTAGGAAATGTTGTGAGAAATGTGTATCAGTGCCAGTGGGGTGTTGGGAAGGAATGGCTTTGCTACTGAATTTCCTTGGCAGCAGGTGGGTGTAATTTACACCCAAACCAGACAGAAAGGTGGAATTGTAGCAGCCTAACTTAAGGAAGCACAGTCTCTCCTGGTGGGAGGTTTTGGTCAAAGACTTCACAAGAAAGCGAAATGCCATTGATCTGACAAATGCTGCAGTTTGGTTATGTTTCACTTTGCTTTTCGCAATTTTCAGCAGTAAGTTTCCCAAGGTCGTTGGAAAAACGTTTAGTGTGACTTCTGTCAGTTGTGCATATCCTAATTTTCCTGGGTTGGAGGGGCTGAGAGGGAAAGGGGATATTTCAAGTGGCAGAGATGCAGGTAGGAGCTGTAAAGACAATGAGGGAAAGGAAAGCATTTCTTCTACTACAGGAGAGCAGAGGAGCTGGGGTCATTCAACGTTTGGTTAGTCAGCTGGAGATCAACACCACTGCTTTCTAAGAGTGCACTACAGGATGGGAGGGGAAGAGACAACAGGCAGGAGCTGGCCAGGGGTTCAGGAAGAGCTTTCTAGGAAGAGTCCTAGGGAATTTAGGAAGGCAATTCATTGCTGTATGCTTGAGATGATACACTGTCATTTAGCAGTGCTGTATTCTGGGAACAACCTCTTACTCCACCCCTAAGAAGCCCAGTAGCTATTTCCTTTTTTTTATTGGAAGGACAGTTTGAGGTTTGAGGGCATAACCCACACTCTTATCTTACTTCATTATTTTGAGTGGCTCAGACCTACTGTAAGAAAAACCATACAGTGCTCAGCCACAGCAGGACTGGAAAGTGGGCACAAATTCCTGTTTTGCCCTCTTTTCTGTTGTTCCCATCCCTTGGCAGCAGCAGACACGGAGGGCAAGGAAGGGTGTGTTGGCTTCAGGCTCCCAGAATAAGCTTCAGGTACCAGTCTCACCAGTGCAGAGATGCGTTTGACCGGTCTATCCTGAGAGGCTCCGTGCTGCTGCTAACTATCCTTCAGCAGCCAAAATACCTATGGAAATCTAGGTTAGATGCCCCCCAGCTATGCTGCGTCTGCAGTACTGACATACCCGGAGCCAAAAATAATAGTAACAGCAATAACTGGTCAGGAAGTAATACCTAGATGTTCACGCGGTATATCCTGAAAACTACTGGTGTATATTTAGGTGCATTCTGTTTGCCCAGAGCAGGCTGATTACAGTGCATAACGTTGTAATCACATGCAGATGATTTAAAGTTGTTTTTTCATTTACAGAGCTAATGTACTGTGGAATCATTAAGTCTGACCTCCAAGCCAAGTCACTTCTCTTTGGTTTGGGGAATTTCCCCATCCTCCCCCATACCTTCTCTTTTCCTAGTCCTAGTTGTTGGATAGTTAAGATTTGGGAGGTTAGTTGATCTTTTGAGTGACCTGGATGCTTTGTATTAATGTACTGAGAATACCGTTTTTTTCTTTTAACTTTTTGTACATTTTTTTAAAAAAGAAGTAAGAATGATGAAGCATTACAGATTTGCAAGAAAAACAATTTGGTGATGCTTATAACAAATACGTTGTCAGGATTTCCTTCTACTCCCTCGTTTAGAAAATAATTTTAATACCTCTCAATTAAATCTCATATTTAAGCAGCAGGGTGTTTTGGCAGAAGCCAACTACCACGCACTAATGAACTCTTCTAATTTGCTAAATTATTTCAAATGAATGATAGTACATTTAGCTTTTTAATGGCAGTACATTTAACTTCTGAACAACTTTGATCAAGTCCACTTTTTGTCAGACTGCCTGCTATGCTAAACTCTTTGTTCCCAAACCCCGCTCAGTTGCTCGGAAAAATCGTTAATCAGAAACATTAAATTATTTTCTCTCTTAGAAGCACAAAAATCTACTGGAAAGTACTTAGCCAATTCATCGCTTTTATTTTACCTGCCCTCACTACTGAGGTCTGGGTAAGGCTTCATATTTGACAAGACTTCATGTAAAGATGACTGGAGAGCCTTGTTTTATCAGTTGGAAGATCTCTATTTCGCAATGTGTTACCTTTCTAAAGAACACCTACGTTTTTCGCCAATTATATAAGCTGTCACAGTTACAAAACTCGAGCAAAAACTTTGTTTGGTTTTTCAGTTCCTGGCTGGATTCTTTACATGCCTTGTGTAAAGGCAAAACATGAGACAAATTATTCCTGCTTCCTTTTGTACTGTGCAGCCACATCATTTGTTGAGCCTGATGGAAAGAACTAATTTAACAGTATTCCTTTTCTCTTTTGGATCAGAGTACAACTGAGAAAATGAAGACTCCAACAGAGCTTTTCTTTTCAAAGGGAATATGCATTTCTATTCTCTCCTGCTACCAGATCTCCTGTAGGAATTTGATATCTAGTGCCCAGGATTTGCCACAGGCATTTTGTTTCTTTGCAACATGTTTTATTTATACACCTTTTACTTAGAGACGTCTGTGTCCAAATTGTTTTGCCTAGGAAATAATTACCATCAATTTCAGGTTAGGAAATACTAGGAAGCAAGAGCCCAGCTTATGAGGTCTTTGTGAAGTTATGATAACAGTAAGTAAGGAAAAGATTATATTATTTTAAATTACAAATTTTTCTTCAAATCTCTCTTTCAAGGAATACCTTCAGATATATCTTTTAATTACCTTTTACCACCCTTACAGTATATAGTTCCACCAGAAATCTCTGTTGGTCATGAGCAGAGTTGTCCAAATTATCATAATATCTATTTGATGGAGTATATTATATTTACATTTTATTGCGTGCCTTTTCTCTAACAGGCATTTAGATATGCATGACAAATATTATGGGGAAAGAATTATGTTTAGCTGACTGCTGTTCTCACCAAGGAATACATAAAACTGAATCAAGACACTTAAAAAGAGTCTTTGCACAAAATTAGCAAGAATCCCCATTTGTCTTTGCAAGAGGACTAATGTTGATTTATCTAATGCTTTAAATTTTCTAAAGCATTTCAGACTTCACTGCTGATTATATCATATGTATTGTACGTGGTTATTTTATCTATATCAGGAAAAGATACATACTCATTAAAGAATGATTTCAATACTGTTTGAAGAGAGGAATGATTAGCATCTTGTTGAGACACACTGTCCTCTTTCATTGTTTCTAAATATTATAGGGAAATAGGTTTATAACTGAATAAAGCATGGTGACATGAAGAAAACTCCTCCAGTTAATGTTCAGTAGAGGAGAGGCTATTTAGTCTAATTGTGGGGGTTTTTTTGTTTGGCATTGAGACAAAGGATCCCAGTAGCTTGGGCTCTGAGCTTCCCGCTGTATATTCACTGCGGTTAAAACCACACCTTTCAAAAGCACAATGTGCGTGTGGAAATCACATTAGAAAGCCACACAGAATCAACAGTTGGCTTCACTGAGCCTTCCTGCCTCTCCCAGTAAAATTTCTGCTTTTGTAGCACATCCCAACTGTTGGCTGAAGTTACAGGGTAAACAGGAGCTTTTGCAATAAAACTCAGCTTCACAAAATCCTCCAAAAATGTGCCACCAATTTCTTGCAGTTCTTTGGATTTACATCCTCTAAAATAATTAAATGCACTGCCATTAAAACAAAAACAATTCAGCAGTCAAAAAGACAACCATGCGGTGATAAACTTAGCCTGAGCAGGAATAATTTCAGTTTTATGAGTTGGAAAACCTGAAAGGTACCTAAGGCCAGCCAGCTCCCGCATCATGAAAGCCACCTCTTTATGACATTATAATTGCACCAGTTAAAGAGAGAAGAAGTTTTATAAACCCCTCTGGGAGTGTTCAGATCTGGACTGAGTCTCGCCTTTAGCCTTTGAACGACATCACTGAGAGAAAACATGCTGAGCTTTAACCTCTTACCACGCCGACAGCCAGCTCCTGGTGGCTGCACCAGCACACGCCCTTGTGTCTCCATATGGTCTTTTTGCCTTCTCTGGACTCACTCCCTCAAGGTATACGAACCTATTGCTCAGAAACCCCCAGAGCCTCCTTCCGGGGGTAGTGAAGACCATATGGTAAGGCATACGGTCCCTGTGAGACCTCCTTATGTCCTGGTTGTGCAAGTTGCTGGAGCGCGAGACTGAAGGCCAAGTGTCGTAGACATCTCTGTGTCACAGCAACACCATCCTGTCAAGTGTTGCTCTGCGTATGGGAGGAAACATGGAAAACAAACCAAACCCCAAACTCCTTCCTGTCATCTGCCTGAAGAAGGGGAAGCCATTTAAAAATTTTATGTTCCATGAAGATAAAATATTGGAGGTCTTTTGTTTGAAGCTTCAAGCTGGACTTCCCATGAGAAGTGGAAGGAGAGAGCAATTCAGTTTCCCTGGAAATTGGTGTGAGAAGGGACTCCTTCACCGTAGGAGAGCCCAACCCTGCTACCTTCCACCGCTTTTCTGCATGAAGACAGCAGTTTAGTTTAGAAAACTAGAAAGTACAGCTATGCTGGAGCATTACCCCTGCTGAAAGAAGGAGGACTCAAAAAAGTTTCCAAAGAGATTTGGCATATAGCATGCACAGGGCTCCTCTTATTCCTGCCATTCACATTTCAGCATTCATACATTTATTTTAAACTGTTATGTTTGCAACAATCCTGAGGAACCTTCCTTGATAGCTTTGCTCCTGGTGGGTCATCTTCTGCATTTCTCCCAGCTGCCACCTCTGTGCTGTCCTAAGTGGGAGATCCTGGTTCTCCACTACCTGTCCCACCACCCATGCATGGGGAGGAGCGAGCGGCAAAATTAGCACCCAGCAGTAAAGGGAATTTTCTTGTCCTGTGCTTATTTATCCCTTCATGCATGCCAGGCCATAATCTGACCCCTAAATAGAGTGATTGAATTGGTTGGTTTGTTTTAAATGAGCTGCAAAGAGTCATGGGGAACCATATGTATTGATTTGGTGTGTTAAATCTTATACAGATACAAATTCTGGATGAGTTAACTTCAATAGAGGTTAAAACAATGAATGGATTTTATTTTTTTTTTATGATCTGGAGTTGTAGTCCACTGCTTCAGCTCTATGGAGCTGTTACATTATTTTTTTAAAAAGATCAGGTTTTCCTTCTCAATATGTCCCTAAAGAAAAGTTGTTCTGAAAGTGCTGAGATTATTCAAGGTTGCCAGCATTACAGCTTGACAGTTTCAGTGGGGCATATAAATCTCTAAACAGCAAAGGAGTAAGTGGGTATCTCGCGTTAGTTTAGTTCTTGGATTGGCACAATTTCCTTTTTCTAAAATTTTGTAGATGAAAAAGAATTTTAAAACACTTTAAAAATACCTGCTGGTTTGGTTACAGTGTTTTTTCTTGGTTTAAATCAAATGCGTAGGAACCTGGTTTACCATCTCTGACAATGCTCTACACTTCTTGGAAAGAATCCCATGCAGAAAGAGTGTTACTCATAAAATTTATGTGCTCTAAACTCTGGACATTATTCATAAGGGGTTTTTTTATTGTTAGCCTAATTCTAAACAGTTTGGCTACAGTGCTTTATTGCCTAAGCTACAAGTGAAAACTCTAAGCACATGTCTTTTTTAATAAGTTCTTTTTTTTTTGCATTTTGTGTGCTAATACACCGCTTTAAACTTTAATTTAGTGTATGAATCTTCTTTCAGTGTTTGCAGTAGAAATTTGACTTCACAAAAATCTAGAATATCAACCAAAAAAATCAACCATAAACAAAAGAGGTGTTAGTTCTTAATGTTTCTTATGCTGTGGGATATAATAGGTAACACTTCATGTATCCTAAATCATCTCTCTACAGCTGGTTGTTTGGGGTTTTTTGTTGGTTTTTTTTTACATAGGTGAAGATGTCAAACCATTTACTCCTGGGAAGGCCAAGGAAATTGTGATGTCTCTGCAGCAACCTGCAGTCTTCTGTAACATGGTTGGCGACTGGCCAGCCCTACGCTGGAATACGAAATACCTTTCTGCGGTGTTGGATGGGAAGACAATCCAGTTCAGGCTAGGTCTGAAGACCATGGATTTAGGTGAGACTGAGGTGGACCGGTGTTACATGTCATAACTCTCTTTTCTAAGGTTCTGCAATCCTCTGTCTCTCCGTTATCACTGTCCACTCGCTAGTGTACTACTTTTCACCACTGGCTTGGCTTTTAGGGCACCGGGTTTGGCCAACAGTGCAAACTCTCCTTTCTCTTTTTTGTGTGTTTATTCTTAGTAGGAAGCCTGGTGAGTAACACTAACATAAGAGAATCCAGCATCTCCGTTTTCTTTCCTGACTTTGTAGTATGTGTGCTTGGTCCTGGTCTTTTACATGATTCAGATGTTTATGTGAGCTGAGCTTCCATATCCACAAACCTCAGTGCATTAAAAAATTAGCCAATTAACTATTTTCTCTTGGTTTTTTGTTTTTTTTTTTAATCTGGGTAAGGGTGATAATTTTCACCTTCCTTTCGGAGGTTTTATAAGACTGTGGTTATTTTCAATACTTTAAAGTCCTGGGATGGAAGATGCTATAGAAGTATAAAGCAATGATTAAGAAAATCATTTGACACCAGCACAATAATTTCACCTCTACCCCTCCAGCTTCTTTCAGACATCTAGGAACACGCCATAGGAGAAAGACAATTTTTGCACTTGATTTTAAATATTACATTTCTGTCTGTAGCCACACAATACTAGTCACAGTCTCTCCAGGGTGAGAGTTTAATAGCAGGGAGGGAAGACACAGGAAGCATGCTCCAAGGCGGCAATCTGCTGGCCACTTTAGAGTTTACACATTGCTTTATTCCTGCCCTGTACATCCTTTTCCCTCTCAGCCACATACCAAATATATTTTGCCATATACTTTCTCCCTTTTGCCTAAAGTACCTTGTCTACATTCAATCTTTTTTTTTGCTAGGCCAGACAAATCCAGTTTTTAAAGAATGTTAAATGTAAGCCGTGTTTTTTTAGATCCCACCTAGCTATTCTTTCTGCACTCCTCTAACCTTCTTCAGTTGAACCACCTCTTTCTTGGAATGTAGGGTCTGCACAAAGGCTACAGATGAGGGTCTGCCAGTTCCTGTAGAAGTTGTAGGATTACATCACATTATCTTACTTAACAACACTGTGTGAAATTTTCTTTCTTCACAGCATCATGACCATATTATTTCATGTTCAATTTTTGCAAGAGAAGTGATGAAACAGAAAGAAGTGTTAAGGGGAAAATGCTTGGCATTTTAGGATTTCAGAGCATTTTACCAACATGGATTAATGATTCCTGTGCCATTCTTGGGAAAGCAGATGTTATTTTTCACTTCCTACAGATGGGTTAACTGAGGTGTAGAATTAATACATTGGTACACATCTTCACAGCAATATCTCTGGAGTTTGATGAGGGATCAGCCAGTTCTTGCACTACAAGTAAAAGGCATCCCATTGCCAACAGGAAAGAAATTGCATGTATATGACATTTCCCTTGATACCTTGTTAATATATCTTAGTTGTAATATGCAAGGCTTACCAGGTATAAGGATGATTTTGGTCCTAGTCTCCTTAATTAGTAGACACTTTATGAGAGCCAAATGGGTATTCCAACTGGGGAAGCTTCTAATGGGATTGACAGAGTGTTATGTAGCTAAGTGATGGATTGATACTACCAACTAAGCAGATAAGAGTCACCTTTTAACAGTAACTTGTAGTTACTAGGAATATAGAGTGAATTTAAATTGGAATTTGTATCTTGAAGTTGCATCTCTCTGTATTTAGGTTTTTCCTAAAGGCATCGATCCCTAGGCAGCAATTGGTTTGTCTCCAGGAACTTCCATTATATGCTAATGTGAGCTAGAAATGTCTTCAAGAAAATGGGTAGAGTCTTCAGGGATTGTAACCGAATGAGATTTGCATTGTAAGGATGTATTAGTGAAGCCATTAGCCAAGCCACCTCAGAATCTGAAATAATGTAATGCATTTCATGTGCCACTGTCATTTTGAAGATGGTTAGTCTCACTCTTGTGTGCTTAACATTGTTTTTCAGCAAGGACCTCTCTTCCTTATAATTGTTCACACTAACTTTCCCAGATGAAACAGAGGCAGTGATGTGGTTAGAAAAAGCAACAGGAGAATACAACTAAAATTGTCTCTGAATATTCCTCATTTTTACAGTAGATTAATTTCCTTAAGACTAGATGGGACCATTCCTGCCACGGAGTCTGAAACTTGTGAAAGAAAGAAACTGTTCTCCTGCTGTAGGTATATTTTGTTGTCACTCTGAAATGGCTGCTTTGAGGTTTCTGAGATTATTTAAGCCACGAGGTTCATCCGGAAGAACTCTTACTTTGACAACTTCTCATATTTCTTTAGTGCCACATCTGCAGCCTGGGTGAGGATTCCCAAACTGAAGATTCCTTAGTGTAAAATAGTGAGAACTGCAGATGGGGCAACTTGGCGGTAATTGCTTGGATTTTATATTTGCTTTTCTTGCTAGTTTGGAACTTCCTGAGGCATAAGGATGTAGAAGGCACATTTGAAACGTGGGAGCTAGCAGTATTGTTTGTGTGTATTATTTGTACCTACCTACGTTTGTGTGTTTGATAGTGTTCTGTGTGATTACACAAGTTAAACTATGTGTCCATAAGAGGGAAAAAGTACAGTCAGAGGATTAAGCATTGACAGAGATAAGATACCTCCAGAGAGAGTACCAGCGTTCATTACAAGAACAATGAAGGTACTGTTAATCAGGAAATCCCTATTCATCTTGTTCCAGCTGTGCTAAAGGATTTATTTTTCTGAGGTGGGATAAAAGGTGTGGAGCAACTACAGAAGTTGAGTTTCTGGCAGAGAAAATGTAGTATCATAACTCATGTACCTGGAGCACACCAGCAATTACGGGGGAAGAAGAAAGCTTACACATAACTGACGTCTGTACACAGGCGTTTCTTATTTTGACCATTTTCTCGGGTTGTGTAGCAAAATGAATAAACAATGAGTTTACTGTGAAGAAGCTGGAGAGAGCAAGAGTTTGTCATGCTGATCAGTTATGAGTCACAAGATCTCTGGAGGAAATTACTCTTAGAGATGTTGGAGAGAACTGGTGTTGTCAGATGTACAGTTGGATAGAAAAGGGCTGCAACGTCTGCCCAAGAGGTTTTACCACTGAGGATGGCAAAAGAATTCAAGCCTCTGAGGTTTAATATAGAGAGGGGCTGCAGTCGCTGAATAGGAGACTGAAAATATATTATGAATACCGTAGGTTAAATAAATGTTGCATAAAGCTGAGATTTGAGGTGGTTATTGAAGTTGGATGTGGACAGTCAGTTTTTTGGTTTGTGAGTGTGCCTGTGCTTTTTTTTATAGTATTAAATGGTTATTCCTTGCTTGGGTTGTTCATTTAAATAATTTTATTTCCCCAGCAGCTGAGAAAAGACATTTGGTTTTCTTTTACATTTAAAGAAATGGAGGAGGCATTTCATTTAATTCATTTCTGGAACTTTAGGGTATTTTCTAAGGCTGTTATTTTTTCTACATTTCCCTTAGCATACATTACTAACACTGTCTTTAGAGTAGAGCAATATTTGGCGTCTGTCAGGACCAGAACTTAACTAAGGAGGAGAGCTGTTTTCCCCAAAAAGCACTTCTTCCCTCTCTCCCTCCCTCCAGCTTCAACCTGTGGCATTAGGTGGGATATCGAAGGACTATTGGGATATCATGCCTCCAGATACTGGGTCATCAGACAGCACTGGTAGCTTACTTTAAACTTATGTGGCTAAATCTACAATTTATCAATTACAAAACACCTTCAGCTTTTAGTCATTAAGCAAATTGGTTAATAATAATCTTGCTTTCAGCTGCCCATTGCTAACACTTTCACCTTAGTTGCAGTCTACAAATCCATCTAAGCAATCTAGGTTACCCAAATACATTTCTTATTACTATTTATTTTTCCATAAGCACCCACACCTTGGTACTGAACGAGTTATAAATTAAACCAAGAACCGTGCCCTGAGGAGACTGTATCCTAGAAGATAGTTTTGCTTTTCACAGTTGGGATTTTTCAAATCAAACTCAGAGCGAAATACGCTGTGTGGTAGAAAGAGCATATTTCTTGCCTTTGAAACACTTGCTCCCGAGTTGTCTTGAAAAATAGGCAGTGTCCTGAGCGCTCTTTGTTCTCATCAAAATAATAGAGATATTGAGCCACCTTCAGTGGTGCTTGAATCTTTTATCTAATTTTTCCATCAGACCATCTTTTAGTAAAATGGTGTGCATTGCACTAATGATTGGGTATCAGGAGGGAGCACTGGACCGCAACGTAGGCAGGGAATCACATATAGGGGGTTTTGGTTATTGAAGGTGATTTATATGTCTTATGTGCAGTTCTGGGGTAGGAAGCCCTTCTACTGCACAAACCCGGGTTACAGATTGCTGAATAGTGGGGCTTATCGGACATTTTTAGTTAATGAATTTGATAGTGAGGGGAAGGAGAACCACTACCTAGGCTACTACAATGCAAAACAGCAAAATGATAGCGATAAAGGTTTCTAAAAGCTGTTCTCCCGCCCAAAGGGAGTAGGAACAAATGTATGAGACTCTATGGGGATTGCTGAGATAACAAAATGAGAGCAGTAAAGAACGAGGAGCTGCTGCTGCACAACAGTGAAAGGGTCCCATTTCTGAGCAGCTCTCTGCAAGTTACACAAGGTTAAATTGCAGCTCTGTCATTGTCATTCATGCAGGCTGCAGTAATTTTTCCCAGTAGTAGTTATAGTAAAGTGAGTGATTATGTATTTTTTTTTAACATTGGATAAGTCTCTTTGAAGCTGGCACAATTAGCGGCTGTGAGAAATGAAGGTTTCTGATTGACCAGAAGGAAAGTATGCTGTGATGTGGGCTATCTTGTGGGCCTTCCAAGTGACCTGACCTTGAGCTGAAAGGCTGCATCAGTCAGCCTGACCAAAGCATGACGGGAGCAAAACACTGCTGGTAAATACTTTTATGTCTGCCAAGGAACGCCGCAATATGCTTTTGTCAGTCCCAAATGAAAAATAAGGACACACAGCATTTGAGATGGATCATTGGCACCGTGTGTAGCTCCATAATTTGCTTCTTACGCATTACTGTGCTGATTTGGTTATTGCTTTAGGTGGGAAAGATGAACATGTCCATCTGCATAAATCCATGGAGACAAAATGAAGGGTACACAAATACTTGTGGGCACATTTGCAGCTCACACGTAAGAAGGGAGATGAAGTGAAGGACAGGCTCTCAGTTGTTTAGGGGACTGGGGGGTATTATTGAGTTACTGTGCTTAAGGGTGCCTTGCGCATGAACAATACGGACTATAGGTGTGCTTTTACCTCACAGCAAATTCAAAGTAACAGCCATTCACTTAAAGCGTAATGAAAAAGCAATAGTCTCAGACTTAAATTGTAAGCCGGGTGATTATTGACCAGAGTCAAGCCACCTAGTCTCACTTCATATCTCTGGTTGTGTTTAACCAGAGCTGAGAGAGAAACTATGTATTATTTGTACTGTTTCTGTGCTTATGTAATATTTAGCTTTTGTTTTGTTGCTCTAGTTCCCCAGTTTGAAACCAGGTGTAGCTATGTGGAGGCTACACTTGAAGAGTTCTTGGCTTGGAGTTGTGGGGAGCCTTCTTGCCCCTCTGGACCATTCAGCTGTTACGAGTTCTCCAAATATTGGGCTTACGCTGACTACAAATACATTGCCAGGATATTTGAAGACAAGCCAGAAATTTTCCAGGTAAAGCAATAATATTATCTCATTCTAGTTTAATCATTGCACATTATCTACTGTAGCTTCTGCAACCCCTACGGTACATCCTCTCTGCTCCTTTGGCCATTTAAAATTTTGAAATAAAAGCTCTGGGCTCTCAGGCTAATGCAGAACTAGTACCAAGTGGCAGCCATCTAAAATTCTGGATCTCCATATGTACTTAAAAAAACCCCACAAGTAAGGAAAATGCCAGGTTGGCAGCTCTCCCCTTCCCATTTAGCCCAGCATCATCCCGTGACTGGGCAGGCTCGGGGAGCACCCAGCCCTGTGTGTGACCTCTGCAGCTCTGCCAAAGGTATGGAAGTGAGGTGGGAATAGGATCTGGAGATGACAAACAGCCAGCAGGCCTGGGGTGTTGCAGACTCCAGACCCTGCTGTCCCCGATCCAGCTTGTACCCCAATGGTACCCCAATTAACAGCTCCACGCAGGAGAGAGGATTTGATGACTTGGATTCACTTGTGGCAACACGGCTGTAACACGGTTTCGCTCCATGTTTTGCTTTGTGGCTCATTTTCTCCAGTAGCACAGTCCCTTCCCTTCATATATTCAGGTTAACTGTTTGCAAGGTGGAGAGATTCTGAGTCTGAGAAACTATTATACCTTGATTGCCTGTGAAGGCAGTAAAACACATGAAGTAACCTCTCCACGGAAGTACATAATCTATAGCAATTCCCAAATGCAGGTATTAGACACATATCTGGGGGATTCTCTTTTCTTCATGTCTGTCTGCTATTTCAATGTATTGGTTCATCTGCCTTCTTGCTACTTCTCCTTGCAAATTGTAAGAGGGCAAAATTAAGGATAGCTGTACAAAAGGTGTGTTTTTTCAAAAGATACAAAGAAAGAATAGTAAATGAAGCCTTATTCATTTCTCCAGTTTGAAATGTGAAGGTGGAATCATAATTCCCTGCAAACACTATATCAGCAGGATGACAGGGAATATGAACTGATAAGCCCCTTCAAATTAATTATTTCCTCAGAAACCATTTCCTGTGCTCCTTATATGTATTTTATTCTTTTATAGCAGTATTTCAATGCTCAGTCTTTTTTTTCAGACTGTCTCCTTTGCTGTGGTTAATGGGAAGGTAAGGTTTGGGCATGGAGAGGCTCTTGCCTTTCTCCCCTCCCTTCCTTGGCAGGCTGAAACACAGCCAGGGGCACATAACTTGGGCTGCACAACTAGGATGAGTTGTTTGAACTAAGGTGGGAGCTCCAGGGGTGTTTCAGGCTTCCCCGTATCTTTGTGTGACTTCCTCTCTCTGTGGTCATGCCTCGGTCTTCTTTCTTTCTGCCTCAAGAGACATCATTTTCCTGTGTTTCATGGCACAAGATAATAGCAGCTCAGAAGACCTGAATAGCCTGCTGCTTCGTTTGGTCAGTAGAAACACGCTTGAAGGAAACAACTGTTTTCCCACCTCCTTCTCCCCCCCTCGCCCCCATTCAAGAACAAAATTGAGGCTTCAGGAATCGCACTGGTGTCACACCACAGCCTCGTCACCTGACCTGTAACAAGCAACAGATTGTACTGCAATTTTAGAATAGACACACGTAATGGTTATGCCGGGGATTTTTTTAAAAGCAGAATCTGGGAAGGAAAAAAAAATCGATGGTGTTATGCAAGCAAATATGGTGTGTGTCATCTGCCAGTTTCACAGGCCTGGGAGTGAAATGCATCCGTCAGTTCCAGACTCGTATGGCTTTTGAAACACTGCTACACAATTGATACCAGCCAAAAGAGTTCTTCATAGAAATTATCTCCCATTCTTGTGTGAATTTAATGATAACACCTTTTTTCTTTTTAGATTTTATTTAGATTTACGTAAGGTGACTTGAAGGGGAAAAGAAGGCCAACTGCACTGTTATTTATAGTGATTAATAGGGCCATTTAGAAGTTGTTTGAAATTTAGATTGCACTGTTTATCATTTACAGTTGTGTGGGCTAAGGTAATGATTCCATTATTCTAATCTATGAGCAGTATCTAGCATCTTACATTTTTTGTTCAGTTGATATTTCATTACAGAATTTGAGATATAAATCAGAAGCAAGATATATGCGTGAAGTTTAAATAGAAATGAGACCTTTTAAAGTGACATACGGGTACAGATTAACTTCATTATAAGAAGCAAATGAAATAAATATAATTCACAAGTAATGTGCCATCTGTTATGGTTGGAACACCTTTTACTGCATTTCATCTTGCTGTGGCTTTTTATTGTAGAAAAGGAACCCACTGTGACAAGATTTCAGTAATCCTACCAGTTCCTTTTCAGTTCATTGGTTAAAAACTATTTTACCCATAATCGCTTCAACTATTTACTACAGCTGCAGCATTTTCAAAAAGTTCTTTTAAATCTAATATTGATTATGTGTGCTTTCTTTCCACTTAAATTGTAACAAAATACAAAAACTATTTAGGTGTGAGATTAAAGTGTAGAGATGGTGTTACGTTTAACTTTATCACTGAGATAGTTGTATTGGATTTTAAATTTTATGGCTGCTGAAATCTATAGGAGCAACTTTTTCTTTTTGATTTTTTTGCTGCCTTTGACAAATGTTTATATTAAACGTCTGCATTTTTTTTTCCAAATGATATCCTTAAAATCAATAACGCTGCAATTCAAAATCTTCAGCAACACCTAATTTTTGGGAAGGCTATCGCTCATTTTGAGGGTTTCCTGATAGAGAGTCATGGTGAAGTCATCCTTACAATAATGTCTAGCTGTAGTTTTGCTCACCCATAGATCTTAAAAAGGGATAGTCATCCACCTGTCTGCAAGCAGCTAGCTTACATACTTAAATTAGGAGGCTAGACTCCTATTTGCTCTTTATAGACAGTGGGAAGAGAGAGGCTTTTCCGAGGGGTGATTGAGAGCGCTCTGACAAGAGCTGGAGCCAGGCTTAAATTAGGTTCCTGAAGTCAGGTGATGTGAATAACCGAAAGTGCTTTACTGAAATGGAACAAATACTGTTATCTTTCTTTTCAAGATGGGAAAAATAAAGCTCAGCGATGAAGTGATTTGCCCGAGACCATCAGGAAGCCAGGAATTGGATCTCTGTTTCCTAAGGCTCAGTCTGGGGCTCCAGCCAGAAGGCACCAGTAGCTCTGGCCAGTAGACTTCAAACGCTTTCCAATAAACAAATGATCAGGCCCTGCAGGTGGCAGGGTCGGCTATAGAAAGATGGGAAAGCTTTATCCAAGCTCTACTGAGCCATCCTGCAAAACCCTTGAACTATGTGAAAAATACCTCACTGTCCCTTGTTCCAGCTGTCATCCCCAAGGGATTACTTGTGGGAGGATCAATGGACTAGGAAGCTCCAGGATCATGTTCATAGCAGATGCATGCCTGGGCTGCCCTTTCTTGACCTATAATTGAGTTGGTTTAAGTTCACTCTCTCCTCAGTTGCAAAGGCAGGAGGGGAATGTGTCTGTTAAATAATAAGGAACATAGAAAACCCAGCATACCAGGGGGGTAAAGTCTGTATTTCCATAATACATGGAGAACCCTGAGACGGGAGCAAAGAGACAACAAACGTGCCACATGGATTATCAAATTGGTTTGAAAAGAGAATAGGGGATTTTTCCTTCCTTCCAGTCTTCTTTTTTTAAATGCCATATATCAGAATTTTTCAAAAAGCAATCCTGTGCTGAGGTGGGTGGTGGGTGGTGCTGTGGCCACAAGCAGCTGGGCAGTCCTACTTGAGTAATATGAACGACTGGGATGAGAACTGGAGACAGAGACCATGGGGGCTGTGTAGTTGGACAGAAAAAGAAGGAAGTCAGCAGAAGAAACACTACTAGAGAGGAGAGTTTTGGAGGAAGGAGCACAGGCCATGCATGCAGGAACCCCACCAAGGAGTAAGAGCTGCAGTGGATAAAGAGTGACTGAGCGATGGAGGGAGAAGGCAAGAAACTCAGAGAACTGAAGATGGGATGTGAATCAGGTCAGATGCTTACTTAAATAACTTTTCATTGCTGCAGGATGTAAGATGGTCTGACTTTGGTTTTCCTGGAAGAAGTGGGAAAGAGAGCACGCTGTGGATTGGTTCTGAAGGAGCAAACACCCCCTGTCACTTGGACTCCTACGGCTGCAACCTAGTGTTGCAAGTACAAGGAAGGTAACAAGTGCATATACGTACAACAAATACAGGGGAAAGTTATACTGTGCTAGAAAGTTAGTTTTGGACTCTTAAGTATTAATTCTAGGTCGAGATTGTTTTAGTTTTCTAAGCTTCCAATGACTGAAGAGCATCGGAACTGTTCTAGAAGAAATGACAGAACTTCAGGCAGGCTGGAGTTTGACTCAGTCACAGAGAGAACACAATTTTATTTTCTTCTGTTTGAGGAAGATCTTTTCTGATCTGTGTGCTATGTGATCTAATAATAAACATTTAAATGTTACTAGTAGTTATGAATTCAGGAATTTGGAAATAGGAGGTAAAGAGTTAAAAATAAAAAGCCCAGAAACAAAACAGAAATAAACTACTTTAGACTTTTACAATATTCTCTGTGCAAGAGCCTCTAATAGCCTGCTAGAATTAATTTAAAGGGGGAACATCAGAATGGGAGCAGCCAGCTGTGAGCAAAGTTGAAAGGGACACTTGAGGGTCCAAACTAATTTTGGAGCCTGTGGCTTTGTTGCTGTTCTTTCTGCCTGTTTGCATACTGTCTTGTCTTTTTTTTTTTCCCCTCATTTTTTTTCTCTCTTTTCCTTGTGTATTGGCTTCAGGCGTTTTTTTTGTTTTCTATTATTGCTAAAGTAATGCTAGAGTAACAAAACAAGTTACATGTATTTTTTTGGTTTGATAGTGTAGAGCGGTAGGAATAATTTGCCAGTGGGATTTTAATACGATTAATTATTCTGACTTTTTATGCAACAGTAAAATCTTGGCGGTCTTGTGATTGGGAATCAGGCACGCTGGCGTCTATGCTGGGCAGTGCCACAGCTTGACTGGCTTTAAGGCCTGAGGCAAGTGAGTTTGTCATCATTTTACCTGTAAGAAGGGTAACTCTGTTTAGCTCTCAGACAGACTTTCATTCATGATTATAAACAGCTTTGGGATCCTTGGGAGAACGTGCAGCAGAGACACTCTGGAAGCCCCCCCCCCTAGCACCACGCTTTGCTGCAGCCGCTCCTGTAGACTTCAGATCGCATCAGTAAGCAGCATACGTTGAAGTCCAGACTCTTAAGTGTGTTTAGGAGCCAGACATCTCACTGAAAACCATGAGACTTACATGCCTAAATATCCTCTAAAGGATCCACCAAAATGCTGGCAGACCTGATACCTGCCCTGCCTCTTTGATCTCTACCTCCAGGTGTTGAACTCGAGCCAGAGTTCCAGCATCACGGAGCAATTTTGCCTGCCTTCCCAAGGTACTTCCTTCCCCCCAGGTAGAACAAAATCCTTGTTCCTCTCAGGGAAAAAAGCCTTTGCATGGCCTGCAAAAACAAAGTTGTTTTCAGAGCAAAGCCTATAAATAGATTGCAAACTTCCACAAGCTTGTGAATCCTGTATTTCTTCAGAGCAGAAAGATTCCCTTTTGAGACTCACAAACAAGACAGGCTTTGTAACAGAATATAAGCTTATGCTAAACTTAAATAGATTTGCCTTTGCAGGAAAGCCAGGGACGACTCCTTAGCCCTTTATTGCTATCTTGAATTTCCTCCTTGCATCCCTCGGGCTTCTTAATTTTTTGCTTGGTGATACTGTTTTGTCATGAGCCTGCAGGATTAACCCATGAGCCTCCTAAACCTGGTTATTCTTTGCCCCTTCAGAGGATCTAGCTTGGAGGGCAAAATAAAGTTGCAGTAGGGCTTGGGTTTCAGGAGAACTATTTTTTGTACTTGCACCCAGCAGTAGCTTTGGTAATTACCAAGAAATGTCAGCGGCCTATGGCACTTCCATCTGTGCCGATCTCTGCAGCTCTGGCTATCCTGCTATTCCTGTCTCTTCTGGTTTTCTGCCATTTGGCTGCTTTTCTCCCATTTTCAGATCTGTGACTTAGAACTGACAACCAGAAGCAGTAGGCAAAAAAGCAAGTAGTGAGTACCAAGGAAAGGGACAAAAAGATCTCGCTGGAGTCTGAAACAAAGAGGCGAGCTGTGCAAATTGCCCAACTGTGCTGTAAAGTGCTGCCTTTGCTTTTCCGTTGCTTAGTGCATGGGTCACTGGAGTACTGATTGTCTGGCACCTTTTAATGTAATAAATTCTCCCTTTGTGTATTCCTTTCTGGTTATTTCCATCACCTAAAGTACCGCCATATAAAACTCTTATTTCTAAATAACATATGTACCTGCTAAGATATTTCATTTATAGTACCCATAAAACAGGCACCACCAGTTCTGGCATATTCTTTTTTTCTGACTTTGATCTAGTCTATGTAAGGGAAATGGAGACATTAGCTCCTGAGGACAAGGTCTGTGTCTCGGTGCTGCACTGCGGTGTGTTGACCCACTTCTTTGGATGCATAGAGAGCAACCTGGAACACAAGCCCCTCTCATGAGCAGAACGATCCTGTCCTGCTCCATCTGAGCATTTAGTCACGCCAGAGAGTTCTTCAACCCAGGGGCCCACACAAGCCACATTTTCATCATGTGGTACTCATAACACCAGAAAATAAGGATGTTTCAGGATGTTTGCTTCTGTGGATGTCTCTAGTTTTTATTTATGCCATCGCCCTGTCTGTGACGTAGGAGCATCAGTGTGGTTTTTACTAAGAATGAGAGTTTTGTGACTAACAAAGTACTGTAGGTGCTGATAGAGAACAGAAGGTCGCATCCATACCCTTTTACTGTTACTGTTCTAAACACACAATCTCTCCTTTTAAAACAAATATGAGTACAGCAGCTATGCATTCAGTGAATGAAAGTACGTTGTCTCCAACAAAACTGTTTCCCCTGGTTTATAGAGCAATTTTTAATGTTCTGAGCATCTGTAAATGCTGCGTGTTGCTCTGTAAAAAGGAGGAAGGAGGAACCAGATGGGAGAGCTTTTTTTTTTTTAATTTTATTTTATCTGCCTTTTAAAAATAATTGGTGAGAAGCTGTAAATCTTTTCAGTTAAAAATTAAGAAGTGGAATATTTTAAAAACACTTTTAGGAGACAGCCTGTAAGCACTGCCTGTGTTCTCACTGCGTAGGAGATTCACACAGTGAGGCAGATTTATGTTTTATTGAAAACCTTGCTACTGCCTTTAGTTCTTTGCTGTAACTGACATGCACTGAATACATTTTTATCTTCTCTCTATTTTCAGGAAGAGATGGCACCTCTTCCCACCTGGTGACACCAGTTTCCTTTATCCCACCAGGATCCCTTATGAGGAATCCAGCATATTCAGCAAAGTCAATGTTACCAACCCTGATCTGAGATGCTTTCCTGAGTTTAGGAACACAACAGCCCATGTGGTTACACTCAGCCCGGGACAGGTACCCTTCGCATGCGAGCTTTGCGTTAGTTTGAAAATTCTAGTAAATTATTTAACTGGCTAATTAAGGGCTAGGAAATCTTAACAAACCGACTGTGGTACTTCACTCCCTTTACACTCTGCACTCAGGCTTGAAATATTTCTCTCAGCACGGGAACTTTCTTTGCTCACAGTTACTTTACTAGCCCTTTTTGTACAAGAACTGCAAACATTTGGAGAGTTAGTTCAATCGGCTCTTCTTGCAATTCCATCACAGTCCTTGCAATCACCTCCAATTTGTCTGCTTTAACACTTTCTTGAACGGTACTCCAACCTGTCTGCTCTGAAACCAGTATGTTCCATAAAATGTATTTGATTAATGAGCGTGCAGAGCCAGCAAAGGAACTCATATTTTCATAGAGAATAACCTTCACCGGGGAACATTGGCCCAACTTGTTGCTTTAATAGCAGAGAATTGTAACGATGATACATGCATTTAGAGCACGCGCTATCCAGCGGTTTCGATATTATTAACCCTCTTTTACTGAGAAAGTGCGCGCTATCCAGCGGTTTCACGGTGCTTTATGAGGATGTGAGGATATTATTAACCCTCTTTTACTGAGAAAGTTGTGTTATAAGTGCCTGCCTTGCACACAGGCAGTCGGCAGCAGTATGGGAGTAGGGCTCAGGACTCTTTAATTCCTAGTCTGCTGCCGTAAATAATGTCCTTCTTTATTTAATCAACACGCTCTGTATTTGGAGTCTGAATTACCCTTTTTCATTTGTTCAGCAGCGCATGTCCTTGTAAAGCACTTCTGTGCATCTCAAACTGTCAGGCCTTTTCAAAGGAGTTTTGCAATGTCCATTGCTCCGACTGCTTCAGACAGTGCAGATGCCCCTTCTAGAGCCTTCTCACCATTGTCCTGCCAGACGTGGTCACCTCTTGACCTGCCAGCTCAGCGGCTCCTGTGAGTGCTCCCTTGGCCCTAGCTGGCAAACCCAGCTGCCTTCAACAATTTAAAAAATGGATTTTTGCTAATCGAGGTAATGCTGAGGAGGTAGAGCAAGGAGCACTCCCACGAGCTGGAGAGATGGCAGGCTGAGGCAGGATGGTAGTTTCCAACAAGAGGATGGTGTCTGTCAGCTGGGAAGAGCATGCTCTTCTGCTGGTACAGTTGCAAATGGAGAATATCTGTCACCAGCCTTGGTTGTTTGCAGTACATTAGCTCTAGCTGTACTCCTAAAGCAGATGATTAGTTTCGCACTCTGCACTTTGTAAGGTGCAGTGTTCAATAATTTAAAGGACAAAGAACAAATTTTACTATTGATAAAAATGCCACACTCATTCAGCATTTCATTATCCATGATCCCCAACACTATTTCAATTTATAATCTCGTTTGGAATGATCAAGTATGGTAGTGAACCTTTAATATGATCTTAATTTTAATTAGGCTTAAAGCAATTACAAATTAATCTTGCTAGGAATAAAGATCTTGAGCCAGCTGTTAATACAAATTGCCTGCATTGCCATGAAGGAGATACTATTTGGATTTCTGGGGAGAAAGGAGCGTAGAGGCAGTGACAGAGCAGTGAGGTATTGCCTTCATCCATTTTATCAGCGCCTTTCAGGTGGTGCTTCCCTGCGACTCCTCCAGAAGCTTATGGGGCAGGTGGCTGGGACGGCTGCCCTTTGGTAGAGGAGAGAAAAGGAGTGACCTAGAAGGACTCCTTCGTTAACATGGAGAGGATCCCGAAATAATAACAATCTTAATACGTGTTCAGCAGTGGTTTTCATGTAGAATTCATACAATAACTACAGAATTTGCAGCCGGCTTTTTTTTGGTGACAATACCTAGCATCTCCACTCCTTCCCAGAGGGTATGCAGAACATTTTGGATTGGATACTGTAGCAATAAAGGGATGAAAAATAACGACAAAGGTGTTCTTAGGTATGCAGGAGAGCAACTGCATGTAGGGTGAGTGCAGCTTTGAATATCAAAAACTAATGTCTAATGCCACCTTCTGGTCGCTGTTTGCTACAGGTCATTTTTCTACACCCATTTAAGGCTTTCAAGCAGAATTCCTTCTTACAAACAGTGTGTACTTTGATTGCATCCTTTGTGCCCTTTCACTGTATTGTCCAGTGAATAGGTTTTATAAGGTTTCATCCTGCACTTGACCAGGGGCTGTGGGCTGAGTTTCCACAGAGGTCCTAATTCAGCTTCTGGTTACACGTTAGTCATCTGTTCTTGATACAAATTATGATCAAATTTAGATATCTAACTTATTTAAATAGGCAGCTGAGTGGTTTGGGGGTTTGCAGATGTACATTTTTGTATCCATAAAGTTACAAGCTCAGGTTGTATCACACAAATATAGAGATTCCTTATAAATATTTGGACCTGGTCTCCTACATCATGGTTGCAAGGCTGTGTGGTAAGTATGGAGCAGGACTTGTGTCCACTGAACTAGGGAGTTTTCACCCAAAGCATTAGTATTTTGGTTTATTTGTTTGTAAATTCTGCAACGTTTCTAGTAATACCTTGATTCTTTTAACAAACACACAAATACTGCTTCAAAGACTGCAAACGGCGCAAAAAATGTCTGTTTTGGTATTTTCCACCCCACACTCTGGGACAAGTGTTGAGAGAGGGAGGGTAAGATCTGCTACCCTCAACCTGGCTGCCATCAGTGGGAAGAATCTGCCACCTCTGCAAGACGGTTCATCCTCCCTGTCTTACACAATTACAGTCCTGCAGGAACATTCACCCCATCTTGTCCTCCAGCACAGGCCATAAAAGGAGCCTACACACATAGACGCTTAACTTCTTTGATGATTAAAAATAGAAGACATGAATCCCACCTGAAAAAGGCTACAAAAAACTGAGATGCTGGAGAAATACAAAATCATTGATCATTCTCTCCTCATTCTGCCCTACTTCTCCCCAGCTTCTTGCTTCCTTCCTGCTCACTGTTGTAATTGCTCTTAATCCATCTTCCTCTTAATCCATAGCCATAGAACTAGAGAATGGCAAACAGCCTGGAACGCACATCTCAGTTTGTCTGAAGGCAGACACTCGAGGCCCCACACACCCACCCTCCTAATGGAGAGCAAGCACCGTGTGCTGGGCTCCCACCAGCCGTGCCGTTCCCTCTCACACCGCCCTGGGCAGCAGGGGCAGTGGACACCAGGACCAGTGCTGGTACAGGCAGCACACAGTGGGTCCTGTCTCCTGGCCCCGTGTCCCAGGTGCAGCCTGGAGCCAGAGGAGCTGCAGGGCAGTTCTAGACAGCAGAGATGCCAGGAAAGGCCTCACCGCGCTAATCTCAGAAGCACATCAAATCTGAGAAGGATGCTCCCTTCTAGCCTTGAAAAATATTGCCACAGTATGGGAAGAGTGATTTAAAAATGAGCAACATTATTCTGTCTCTCACTGTTGTCTGCTGCTCAGAATTTCTCCTCCCCTGCTTTTCTTGCCTGCCTTCTGAAAGTCTAATCAAACGCATCTCAAACTCAGTCTGTGTCCACAAGTAGAGTTATCACGAAGTTCCTATGGATGACTGCAAGATTTTCTCTTTCTGTTCTCCTGCTGCAGTGTCTAACACACCATGGGATCCTGCTGGGCAGCCACGAGAGCACAGGCAGATCTCTGACTTCTGACCCAACCCTGAGCAAGCAGAAACCTTCACAAAGTCAGGGAGGGATTTCCCTATGTGCCACCTTTAAAGAGCAGGGATGAAAACTTCAGACTGGGCTTGGAGCAGAACAGACAGCGTCAGACAATGTCATCGTTAAGTCAGGAAATGCAGTCATTGAAACTTTTTAAACGGCAATAAAATGTTCCAGCTCAAAGCATATAAAATACTTCTTAAAAGGGGTTGCAGTGAAAAAAAATGCTTTTGTTGGAGAAGAGTTGTAGTGATTTTAGTAAAGGAGAATTCAGAGTTGCCTGCAACATTATGCATAGTACGTGGTTGATAATTCTGTTTTGGGGAAGGGAGGAAGAATTTTCAGGTGGGAGACCACAGAGTTGGACCCAGGTCACCCCACAGAGAAGGCAAACAGCCCAGCTCAACTTCTAGTCACCACAACTACCGTCTCCATCACAGAAGATGCAGAAAATTCCAGGAGCTAGATTTACACTAGAATCAGTAATGAAAACACCATTTAGCCTGCAGGACACATGGAGAACCACACAAGTGCCCAAAAAGTTGAGCAAACCAAAGGTGAAAGACATCAGTTCCTGACTCTACTTTTCCACCTCTTCCCCGAGCTTCCCTCAGTCCCTTGCCTGGGTCCCCAGGGACACGGGATGGTGACAGCCCCATTCCCTTCCCATTCACAGAGCTTCTCCCCAGGCCATGTCTGTGTTTCTGCTGTCAGTTTCCCTGGGGACTCTGTTCCAGCAGGTGGGAAGACACCAGCTCAGGAGGGAAGCAGGGTCAGAAGCACCTTCCTATCACCAGGGCAGCCAGGAACCACCAGGACAGGGCACAGGCTGGGGTGGCAGCGCTCTCAGACAGTGCTCCCACAGAGTTGACTGTGCATTTATTTATTTTATTTTATTTTATTTTTCACTGCCAGGGTTGCAAGCAGCTCTGGGATTTGCTTGGCTCCCCACGCAGCCCCCCATCTTTTTATTCCCATCACACTGGTGTTCTTTGGTGCTTCCTTTTCTTGCGCATTTACCCAGGTATCTTTTTCTAATGAGCAGGAAATTCTTGGTATAATATTTCACTTCAGGGTATGCTCTCTTTTTGAAGCAATTCCACCTTTGCCCTACCTTTGCACTGTATCAAGTTAATCACGTCCATTGAGAATTTAAACCTGTTCTGTTCTCTGTGCTGTACAAGTCTTCAGCATTGCTCCACTTGCTCTCCCAACTGTTCTCTTGGTTTCTTTCCTCCCGTTACAGACCAGAAATTCATTTTATCTTTTCTGGGATTTCTGTCCTACTTTGACTTCATCTGCTCTATTTGCCTATCAGTAGCCTCAATATTAAAATTATCTGATTGGTTGCTGTTTAGATCAGTATCTTCCCAGCCCGCAAAGCTAGATATATTCTGTATAAAGCAGGCTAATACAAAATCATCTCTTAGCTTGGAGTAGTTCTGTCTTGCTTGGGAACTTTAAGTTTTCTCTGTAAAATGTTTGCTGCATTTGTGTGTATGTGTTATTTCACTGTGGTTTCCTTTCACATTTCCTATTGAAATATATTTTCAAATGTAGCTAAATTTGTGTCCCATACTCATAAATATATGGTAGTCTGATTTATTTTATTGTGGAATTGATAGTTGGGGGTAGTAGTTGTGGGGTTTTGTTGGTATTTTTTTTTGCTTCTAGTTTGCAAACTTAGAAGAATACTGGTTTGTAAAGGTGGAAGAATCCTACTGCTCTTTGCTGGATTATTTTTCTTGGTCTGCTCCTTTGACAGCTGTATTTTTTGTTTTTAATTACCTTTTTTTTCATATTTCTTCATAAAAGTTTAGTCCTTTTGCTTTTTGGTCATTTCAGTGTTCTTGCTGCCATAAATCCCTACTTTAACAAGCATAAGCTTGCCCAGAAATGAAGAGGGAGAGTGGGTATCTTTTTGATACCTGTTTTGCCTCTGAGTCACTCCTCTATAAATTGCATCAGCAAATGGTGCCAGCTGCAGAAATACCCAACTTTGCAGTTATTACTCTTACCCTGCTGGCAAGTACAATCTGATTTGTCTCTCTGAAGACCAAGTTCGTCCTTTTTGGTTTGAAAAGACTGAACTAGTTGAGGGGATTTGTATTTTCCTCCTAGCTCTACCTCCTCTTTCCAAAGCCATTCTCTCCTCACTTCACACATGAATCACGTTGAGCCAGCACTTCCCATTCCTAATTCCCTTCTTGGTTTTCCCAGGCAGCCTCTCTTACTGAAGCATTTACACACTGCTCTTAATTTGCTTCTCCCCTTTGTTCCCTTGCTGCACGCTCCCTCTGCACCATACCCCACATCCCAAGTGTCTTCCTCCACTTCTCCAGCACGTTGCAAGCTGACTCCTGCTACCCAAGTCTCACAGTAAGGACCCCATTATTGGAAATGGCTACTTACTCCAGAAACTATGCCTTCTTCTGCTGTACACTAAAGTTTTCCAGGCTTCATCATTGTACCCCTTCATTTGGATGGCACCCAGATTCTTTAACAGAGTGCAACGTAAGATCCCCCATAGAGCAGATGAGTGGGTTTTTGTATGAGTCCTCTGTCAATGAAACACTTGCTCACAGATAAACCCATTGCAGCTAATGCAACTGTCCTTTTCATTTAATTTTCAGTTATTTTTCAAAGTGCAGGTATCTATGATAAAAGCACCGCTCTGAAATTTGTTCCGTGTAGAAAAATGTTTTGGCTTCAGTTCGTGTAGGGTTTCGTACACTTTTAGATGTCAGGAACAACTAATTGGTGATATTTTTTAAATAATGGCCCTGCACAGACTGACTTCCTTCTGGTTCGTGTGCTGTACTGGATTAAAGTACAATTTCCAAATGGTTTTGATCCCTAGAGAGCTAATGCTTTTTTTTTTGTTTGATTTAAATTGTAACCTGTGGAGAACATTTTGTCCTGTGGCCCAAAAATGACTCCACTCTGACTGTCGTCTAAGTGTTTGCAGGACTAGGGCCTCAGTCATTGTTTCCTACACAGACACTTTCTCATTATCCGTGTTTTGATATAATGAAGCACAGGGCTATCTAGGTAGCAGAACATTCTTTTAAGTAATTTGTGTCTACCTAGAAAAAGAATTGTCTGCAATTCAGATACAGATCGTTGCTTCACTTTCTCCATTCTGAAGTGTATATTTTTATCCATTTCTGACCATTTTTATTCCCTGTCAAAACCCATCTTTTATGCTTTTCTTGATAGCTCTATGTTAATCTAACGTTCAGTAATCTGTAAAGCTTGTACTATATCATCAAAACAACATTAATGTCTTTGTACCATAAAAGCTATGGATTAGAATCAATTTTATGTCACAGCTATCATCCTGATATAGTTGGAAAGCTCTGATCTAAACTAGATTGTCATGATTGCTGGGACACCTTCTTTTAAAAGCCTATCTACTAAAAGTGACAAGTTTAATACTGGTGAGTGTTGACCAGAATTAAAGCTATGTATTGTTAATCACCTCGATGAGCATTAGGGGATGCTTTTTGGGGAAGCCAGCTGGCAGTCCTTCTAAAAGGACTGAGAAGTCTGCTCAGTTGGAGAGTCTACAAAAGAGTCCTTGCTTGGTTGAGGCTTTCTCCACAGCCCTGCCCTACCCCTACCCCAGCTGCACCAGCTTCATGCAGCCAGACCTTGCTTATCTAGAACATCTCTGTGGTTACAATCCTGCTTCACACCTGGAGGAGTTTGGATGAGAGGTAGTTCTGGGTCATGTCTACTTCTTCTATGATACTATTGACACAACGGGAGGAGAGAGTGAGCATTTAAGCCTTGAGAAAAGGCTTTCTACAAGAAAGAGAGAAAGATCACCACCCGCCTCTGTTCCTTGCCTCGTTCTGTCTCTGCACCCCACATCACCTTAGTTAAAACATCTTATCTTCCCTCAAGCCTCTGCTATTTTCCTAATGCCATGTCTCTGATTCCAGGTCCTGCTTGTTCCAAGGCACTGGTGGCACTATGTGGAATCCATTGACCCCATCACTGTCAGCATAAACTCTTGGATTGAGCTGGTATTTTCTTCCTTTCCATGTCACGGTGACGTAGCACTTCCATGCTTGCATATACTATAAAGAGTAGGAAAGCTGACCCAAATAATCCTGTCCTAGGTTATGACCTCATGAGACACTTTTGAGCAGTTTCAATGGTGCTTACATTTATACAGTACCTTTTATCCTGATGATCCCAGGAAACTTTGCAGAGCTGTGTGTTCTACCAGCATCGTTTGTCAGCCACCACTGAATGGCAGCTGGGCTTTGCCAGTAGCACAACATCCAATTCAAGGTTTTTGCTAGAGAAAGCTGGGGGAGAAAAAAGAAGCATCTCTATCAAGAAAACAATGAAAAGAATGTGACCTGAGCAGAGAAATGATGCCACTCAAGCTGTGTTTCCTACTTAGCTGCATTGAGCAGGAGCTTTTGTAAGATCAAGCTGAAGCATTTTGTCCCTTGCCTGCCAGGTTCAGCCCTATTGGGTGTGCTGTGTTCAGGGGCTGGCCAGGGAAGAGCCCCTGTGGATACAGTTTTTCTTGAAGAACCTGCCAAGGTTCCAGATCTGAAGCCCCAATTCAGCAGAAATGACATGCAAACGTACCTCAATCAGTAAACAATTCAACACAAGCTAAACTTTTTGTGTCCGATTTCTTCTGGACTGTAGCTGGCTTTGTGTTGAATAGGGCACAATAAAACAGCAGCTTCACCTCAAGCACATGCTTACACGCAAAGCTAAATTAGAATTTAAATCAGATTAATGTGATAGGGAGGGGGTGGCAGAGGATTTTTGAACTTTCATTTCTCTGTGATAGTTTTGATTTGCCTGGAGTTGGATTTTCTCAAGTACTTAATTAATTTTCTTTTCCCCGGGCTTTGATTTTTCTTGCTCATGTTAACCAGCATGGATGGGATGGTTCCAGGGATATCATCTCAATGCTTCAGAAGGTTTTCTGATTCAAATTACTTTATCGTTAATCCTAGCTTAATATAGAAAAGACCCTTTGAAATGGCCTGTGAGAGCTGCCTCACTAAAATACTTATTGCTTTTTTTATTTTATTTTTTAAACCTTTATTAGACTGGAAGTCTGCAGGGGAATGAACACATGCGTTCAACTGCTGTTGAAAGACTACACCATACATTTCTTATACCAACATCAAACCAAGCGCTTGCAGAGCAGAGGAACTCACTTGGGTGTTTTCCTCATGGAGAAATTTTCCAGATGAGACTATGTATTTAGAAAGGACAACAGGCCAACAGCCCATACCAAGTTCTTATGTAGCCCAAAGTATGGTCAGGCTGCGTCCAGTGCCAGAGAAAGCACCGTTTAAGCCTGCCCTACATTTGAGCAGCCTTTGAGGTAATTCAGAGGAACTGACTGCATGCTCCATGCCTAGAAACACCATGATGTCAATGCACACATGCACTTGTACCCTAAGCTACGCCTCACAAATCGTCCCCCTCTGGAGGACAGGTCAGGACTGGACCAGTTGTTCTGGGCTGGTAACTCCCAGGTGGCTGGGTGGTGTGTTAGTTATAGCATTTCTAGCTGTTCTTATGTGCTGCAAGAAAAAAAGGAAGAAAAAAAAAAAAAAAGAATAGTGGAGCTAAACTTCAGGGTCTTTCTGGTCATAAAGGTCTTGCAGAAGTCACCAAGATCCTGTTTGGTGGCAGTGAGAGCGGGTAGCGGCATATGGCATCATGAGCAGAGGAGTGTTTGCTGGATCTTGCCGATGAATGGCACACACACTCTGTCTCCCCACATACCAAAAGCTGCCATAAACAAGTGTAGCTGTTGCAACCCACGTGAAAGTTCCTTACAGAAATTATCCCTGCCATCAGGGAAAATATTCCCTGACAGCAGCACTGGTAGGTGTTGGGCAATCCATCTATAAACATAAATTCTGACATGGGTGCTCAAAGACAATACTGAGAATATTTCCATTACCAAACCAAGCAGTTCTTGCTTGCAGCTGTTACCAGCTGCTTTCATATTGACAGATGTGAATCATGCCAACATTTATAGTCCTCGTGAAACCATTAATTATATTGGCAAGACTTTAGAGTAGAAGTTTAATTTGTTTTCAGCTGGATGTGAGCTACTCAAAGCATTCCTTCCGTCCTAACATACTCTCATGCGACCAGTACAACCCTGTTATTCAGCAGGCCAGGATGAACACCAAGAGTGCGACATGTAGATACCAAACTCTGCATTTTGGGGGCTTGTTGTATGAGGCCACTGGTAAGCCAAGCATCCAAGGGCACAAAATGCTAAGAGCACTTCCCCCTGCTTCTATCCCAAATTCTGCTCAGAGTTCCAGGATGATTTACTGCCTTCAACGCTTATGGCTTGCTTGAGATGTTCCCCAAAGCCACAATTAGGCAGTTGAGGGCTGTGGGTTGAAAAGGTCACATCTTTCTTGCAAAGCTTGTATGTTTAAGCATCTCAATGAAAGTAGATTTATGTGTCCACTCTTAGGTGCTTGCAGTTGAAATAACTGTACCACCCATCTTGGTTGGAGTCGTATTGTCTCCTTCCACATACAAGAAATTCCGTTAGGTAGGAAAGTAAAAAGATCCTAGAAAGTTTTGTTGTTATCCTAAACTAGCAAGTACCCAGCTGCGCGAGGGGATGATGCAGAAAGCAAAGGCCCAAAACAAAGAACCAGTTACTAACTTAGTGTTTAATTTTGCAGGAAAGCTTTCAGAGGAAACATGTTTTTCCTTCTGCCGATGTTTAAAACTGCAGCAGTACATCAGCTACTGTTACATGATAGGGAGCTGGGAGCTGGGATTGATCAGCCTGGAGAAGAGAAGGCTCCGGGGAGACCTTATAGCGGCCTTTCAATACCTGAAGGGTGCCTATAGAAGAGCTGGGGGGGGACTCTTTGCCAGGAGGTGTAATGATAGGACAAGGGGAAACGGTTTTAAATTGGAAGAAAAAAGATTCAGATTAGATCTCAGGAAGAAATTTTTTACTATGAGGGTGGTGAGACACTGGAACAGGTTGCCCAGGGAAGCTGTGGATGCCCCATCCCTGGAAGTGTTCAAGGCCAGGCTGGATGGGGCCTTGACCAACCTGCTCTAGTAGGAGGTGTCCCTGCCCATGGCAGGGGGGTTGGAACTTGATCTTTGAGGTCCCTTCCAACCCAAACCATTCTATGATTCTATGATAAAATATTTCCTGAGTTTCCTTAAGACTTACTTTCGTGCCTCTGTAGCCCCCAGACAGTTGCTCCTTGCTGTAACATCCTGTGTGTTTTACTTAAATTAGACATAATACGTAGATAGATAGAATTTGCTATGTACTTTCATGGTCCTTCAGGTCCTAAAGAGCTATAAAAATGCATATATTAATTAAATGCTAACATTGCATTGTCATTTCAAGCACCAGATTTAATTAACAGAACACTAGTAAGGAAAAAGATTATATCCGCACACTAGAGTCTATTTTTTGCAAATCCTTATTCACCAAAGCCTGTGCTGTCACCCATGTGGGGGCTGTACACACGTGTAGGAGCATCAGAAGTCTGAAGCCTTTCACTGACTTCAAATACATGAGTATGGCTTTCAAGCAAAGGCCGTCCCTTTAGTTCCTCCCAAGAACTTCCACGTTTCTGCAGAGACCAAGTGCTGACCTGTCTCCAACCACTTTCTGTTCCCTCGAGGCAGGATGCAGATCATGAAGCCCGTGTGGAAGAAGCAATAACTCGAATGCTGGTGTGTGCCATAAAATCAGCAGAAAACCCCGCTGATGGAGATCTCTGGCTAAATCCCACCGAGGTGAGCCCTCTCTTGCTCCCATTATAGCAGTGATAACAGAGAATTACTGACATTTTGTTTAGCTCCCCCTGAGCCTTTCTGCTGCCTGAGAAAAAGAATTTTTAATTCCTTCCCTTCGCGTAGCAAAAGTGATTCACGGGAGATGATCATGCAACACTGAACTCAAACGTATCTCCTTTTAACTGAGTGTGTCCTGGGTGTTTTCTTAGGTTGAGGCAACGTCCCATGAAACCAATCTTCAGTACCTGAACGAAGCGGTGTCCATGTACCTCAGGAGTCAGAAGGCCAGCCTCTCAGAGCAGGCACGTCCCAGCAGCACGCCTGCAGAGCCAAGGACAAGCACCTCATGCAAGAGGAAGAGAAGGGAAGCTGCCTGCCAACCAGAGGGCTGCAGGCTACTGACCCACGGGTCGGGCTTTGCAGCATTTAAAGCAGAAAAGCCACAGGAAATACCTTTTGGGCCTCATCTCATTCAAGTTTTACCACAGTCCCAAGAAACAAGGTTGATGGGTGGGGCTGCAGTGGAAAGTGACAGTGGAGATCTTCTCCATGAAAATGAAGGAGGACATTTGGGAAAATTACACTGCACCAGGAAGCAATTGGTAACGAGTAATGACCATGAAACACCCGCACATCAAATGGATGCGGACGGCAGCCCAAACGCCTCACAAACAGCCCTTTCTACCAACGATTTGCTGGACTGTTTGGTTAATCCCCGTGTCATCAGTTTGGTGGCTCAGCTGCTGTTGGAGAGAACAAGAGTTTAGTGCCAGACTGCTTTATCTTTTCTGAAATAAAGAAATCAAATGGCAGCCTTGTTCTGGGTGTTTAAGCTCAGTAATAATTGAATGTTTCATTTCAGATAATTTTTAGGTACAGACAACAGCTAATGGAAGTGGCAGGTTGAAGTTGAGCTGAAAGAAGAATAACTGGTTACTGATGGCTGGGAAGAGAAAGGTGTGTTTATTCGGAGAGCTCCTGGGTGTTAGGAATGGAACAGAGCTCACACAGTTATGATCCCACGTCATTGTGGATGGGATCTTTAAAATGTTCTACAGCTCTGAGCATGGGCTGGGGACAGCTGTGCAGAAACAAGCAGGCTCTGCACTTGAGGGGGTGACAGCACAGGCTGTGATTCCTCCTGCTAGACCTAAACTAGTCTGCTAGACCTAAACTGCCAGGAAGGGGTTTCTTGGTTTTGTTTGTTGTTTTTTTTTTAATTTCATTTATTTTAAACTGGAGCTGCCTAACTGTAGTGACTGACAGCTTCAGCCTGAGCGCCCTCACTGCCCCAGGAACCAGTAAACCAGCTCTGGTCTCAAGGTATCCCTTGACCCAACAGTAAATCCCACAAGCATCTGTCACTAGGAATGAATGTGGATTGGCCATATTGAGGAGATGCTGCAGGACTGGATGCTTCACAGCTGGGGTCAGAATTGGGAAGCAGACTTATAGACAGGTTTGATCTGTTTCTACATTCAAGCAACAGACTTGCACACAGGAGGTTGCACAGGCACACAGGAGGTTGCAGTTTGCACCTTCCCAAGAAGTCCTGGCTCATCCCAGCAGAAAAATTCATAGAATCATAGAATGCTTCCAGTTAGAAGGGACCTTAAAGATCAAGTTCCAACCCCCCTGCCCTGGGCAGGGACACCTCCCACTAGACTGGGTTGCTCAAAGCCCCATCCAGCCTGGTCTTGAACACCTCAAGGATTGTGGCACCCACAACCTCCCTGGGCAACCTGTTCCAGCGTCTCACCACCCTCACAGTAAAGGATTTCTTCCTAATATCTAATCTAAATCTCCCCTCTTTCAGTTTAAAACTCTTCCCCTTCATCCTATCGCTCCACTCCCTCAGGGTGGGCCATTTAAGTCCCTAAGAGGCATTCAGAGGCCCTGAACCTCACACTTGCTCCCTCCCCTCCACTGCCAAAGCTGCTCAGTGGCTGGAGGGCTGAAAAAGCACTTCTCTGCTGTCCTTCATCACTGCCCTCCCAGGGCTGGGAAGGTGCAGGGTAGCATCACTAGCAAAACAAGGATGGCTTGACGACAGGCTCAGGAGGTGGTTACCTCCTGAGGGGGGCTAAGAGTAAGTCAGGTAAACTGACTTACTGTGGGCTGCAGCCCTTGACCACATTTAAAGTAAAATGGTCAATAAGCGATCAGCAGACCACTTTAGAGATGGTAAGTTCAAATAAATCTCAGCCAAGAGGTACAGCACTCACTGCTGCATCTACTTCTTTCCACAAAATAGCATTAAGTTTTGTCACAAAGCTCTAGGAGGGGGCGAGACAAAAGCCCTTAGCAAGAGAGCAGCCTTCAGCTGGTTCAGAGACACTCAAAGCTGGGAGACAAAAGGCCATCGGGAAGTTACTGTTATTATTTAAAGCCAGATGAGCACAGTTCCCTATCTCTAAGGAACAAAACAAAGCAGTTACGACTTTCTAGCCTCTGTCCAACTCTTTACCATAACAATAAAAATTTAATGACTTTTTTTTTCCTTCTGGTTGTAAGTGGTTGCTGTACAAGACCATCCTTTCTTCGAAGTATAGTAGTCCTTGGATTTGTTTTTGAAGGCTGGGTTGTCCTTTGATTAAAAGGTTACAGAACTTGGAAATATAGAGAAGAGGGTGAGTTAACACTGAAGCTGTTCACAGAGGCTTGAAAGAAAAAAACTGGAAAGAGAGCTGCTGAGATCTTCTGGGGATGCTCTCGCCTCCTACCATTTCTGTCAGCAGTGGCAACAGAGGCATTTGCCATAGCCTTAGCAGGGTTCTTCTGGGACAACTCCTGTGAAGCCTTCGCCTTCAAAACTTATCTTTGCTCATGCCTACTAGCACCTACAAACCAGTTTCTCTCATTAACCTGTTTCCACGTTCATAACCCTGCACCACCAGCCATTTCCTGATATTTCTTTTCCCTGGTGCATATTCCTTGCTAAATACATGACGCTGGTGCTGTTTTCACAAATACCATTTTCCACGCAATTTATAATTGAAAAATCATGATGGCCAAGTTGCTTTCTCTCTGCTTTTATACAGGTTGTGGGTTGGCAGGGCCCTGGTGTGTATCTAGACCACTTACTGCCCCACCAACAGGTTAGAAATCCAGGAAACCTTGCCATTTAAAACACCATGGTTACTTTCAAAGCCAAGGTTTCCAGCAAATTACGCCTTTTTGGGTCTTTCCTTCCCTTCCCAGCACCACCAAGTAGCTGAAGTAAAGGCACACAGGGTAAGGTTTCTGTGCTTGTTAAATGTGACCCTTCAAGCCTTTTCGATTTAATCCTTGTCCAAGTGTATTAAGCTGTGGGGCTCATTTTTGGGGGGCAGTGGTGGTGTTTTAAGTTGTGCAGCCATAGTAGGGGCTGTATCAGCTGTCTTTGACCCAGAAGTGAGCAGTTTCAGATGTCCTGCTCTACCCTGGTAATTGGGCTCAGACCCTGATGACACCTAAGTACCATTTTCAGCAGCAACCTGCAGGCAAGGTACGATTCTCAGTGGCATCTAATGAAATCCACTTCTCTTGTTTTATGCTGATACACCAAACCATCTCAACGGGGTTGCACCGCTGTGACAAGACCAGAATTTAATAAACAGTCCCATTGGCACAGGTCATGTTTGTGCCAAATGGATTAAAAATTAGTTGAGAAACGTCTTAATCCCGGCTGCTGCCTTTAGTGGTTCCCCAGGCTCCCAGGGAGCAGGTCTGCAGCCTGTGGCAGCCCCATCTCCACACATGGGCAGGTCTTGGCAGAGCTGGGCTTTAGTGACAGCCCCCTCCCGTCCTGCTGCCACCCTTGTCACCGTCCCCAAGCTGACCAGAGGGGCTGGGACCAGTCAGGGATGGCTGCTGCTCCCTGCACTGGGGAGGAGGAGCTGCAAATTCTTCGTTTTAATTCACTGAGCAAAAATAGTCTTGCAATAAAAAAGCTTTTATGTCTTGAAGGGATACAGGCAGTAAAGCCGAGGAGGAGGAGGAAGAGGATGGCAACGTCGCCTTCCAGTCCCCCAAATGTGAACTTAGCTCAATCTTTCCTCCCGACGCAGAGATGATTTTAACGTGGCCCGCACGATATCTGTGCTGAACGGTTCCTCCCTTCGCATCCAGAAGGACTGTCCTTGAAAAGGCTCCCTGAAGGGTTTTGGAGCTTTTCACAGGACTTGCCCCCCCTCCCCAGGTGATGGCCTTGGTCCCTGTGTTGGAGGAGCCCCCTCAGGCTCGGTGTGGGAGCAGCCTTTCCATCAGGGCTGAGGGACACATGTCGGGAGACACATCGCTCACCCCTCTTGACAAACACCCTGTCAGGGGACAGTCACGGCTCATCCCTGCCCGGGTGCAGCCTGTGATTTAAGGGCCAGGCTGTGGCCAGAAGCCATTAGCAAAGGGGACGGGGAAGAGAGCGAGCAAGGCTGTTTAGGATGCCAGGCAAAAGCACCAGAAGGACTTTGTGTCTCAGAGGCGCGATATAAAAATCTCAGTCGTCCGCTCGGCACACGGGTGGAGGGAGAGAAATGACCACAAATCCAGAAAGTCACGTATGGCAAATGGCTCGCACACCAATAACAGAAATTTATAGCTCTGACCCGTTTCACAGGATACTGAGTGCTGTGATTTCTGACACTGTTTCTAAATTCATGGCCACTGCGTGAAGAAGCTCAGGCAAGTTTCTACATATTCATAGCGTTAAAAATAAATGGTTTCTGACCTCTCCAGTGACAGCCTGGCTCAACGAGAAGCAGCAACCCAGCACCCAGCCCTCTACAATCAGTTGGAGGAAACTTTCTTTCCCTGCTAAGAAAGAGTATTTCCCACTCACTGCCAGCAACGGGCACGGCAACAGTTGAGATTGTGGCCTGCAGCCATCACCAGGGTGGTCACAGTGGCATCAGGCTTGTCATCTCTGCTTTAGCTGACTGTCAGTAAGAGGTTGCCACTGCATAGCTCAGTGGTGAAGTTAAAGCCATTCTCTAGCCCAGGGGCCAGTGTGTTCATCTCCCCACACACACCCAGGGCATTCCACTGGCCTGATGGAAGCCCTGGATCTTCCCTCCCTCAAACCCAGGTTTACAGAGTGGTTCATGGTCCAGCCTGGTTAATTTCTCCTGGACTGTCTGACATCGCAATTCTCCATCCTTGAGCACAGCCCTCACCTAAAGGGACTTGCACTTTGCTTGTCCACAAAGAAAACCATACCCAAAGGAAGAAGTCCTAGTTCTCAAGAGAACAGGAAGAGAAAAACCCCAAACAGTTAGATTTTCCAGAGTCACAGTCTTCCACCGAAAACCTCCCCACTGCATTTCACTGGGTACCATTTTATTTCACAGCAATATTTCCTCCCATCACATTCGGATCTTTTGGGACTTCTGCTCTGGCACTGTTTGCTTGATGCCACAGAGCAACTCGGTCGCAGAGCTGTGACATATGTTATGATATAGCGTTAACCATAAACTGAAGTTGTAACTAACACATGTGGCATATAGAAGAGAAAGAGAATCCTTCCACAGTGCTAATTGCCCTTTAAAAATCAAGGCAATGCTACATATTAGTCCTTTTGCCAACTAGTAAGCTCCTTACTGTGCTTCTTGGCTACAAATATGAACTATTTAGGTGCACGGCATGGGCAGGCTTCCTCTCTGGGGGAGTTTCCTGACATTTCTGTTGTTACTACAACAGTGGCTGATGGGGAAAGACCTTTGCAAATGATTGGACGGGTTTTACCACTTAGTTCATCTGAAAGGGTGAGGAAAAGCAGCATAGCTCTTCTGCACCATGCTTTTCTGTCTCTTGGGAGGAGGAGTTCTGATCCCAC